TAAACTAGTTGCCTAGTGATGTACACCATACCACTTCGATCATTTCGATTTATTCTGCTCGTTAATTTCTTAGTGCATATTTATATTGGTTGCATAAATTTAATTTCGATCGCGCAAAAAATGTTATAAGCACGTCGAACGTTAAGGGTTACCGTTCTCAGACAATAATTGGAGTCGTCGCTTTGCTCCTCCTCCAAACAATTGTCTTCGAACGGTAAAAATCTCTTACCGTTCTCCATACTTAATATACTATTTGTTATAAATCTACCCAAATTAATCCACGGGAACTGTAAGAGATAGGTAGATAGTTTAAATTTGGCAAAGTTGCGTATTTTGATGCTTAGTAAAATGCAGTTTTGAAACTAAAAAATTTCGAGTACTTTCGGAGATATTCGGAAAAAATCGAAATTTTGCAAAATCCTTTTTATTCTTTACTGAAGTTATTTAAAAAAATATTTCAGAATAAATGACATATTATTATGGACACTTTTTTCCCTCTACAAGATGCTACTTTTAAATTTTAAGTTTGACGTTTCGTCTCCAGTCTACCATCCTCAACATTGTTTTTCTTATGGAAGTCATTTTAACTTTTTTTCATGTGACAGAAAATTTTTGTCTGATTTCAAAAATGTAAACATCACTTTCTTTTAATAAGAAATAGCGCTATTAGTTCGTACAAGCGCAAGAAAGTACGTACGTCCACTACCCAAGACAAAGTTTTGTAGGTAAAAAAGAAGATAACAATATTAAAAAAATTGTGATGTTTACATTTTTGAAATCAGAAAACAATTCTCTATTAAATGAAGTAAAAATTATTTCCATAAGAAAAAACAAAGTTGATGATGGTTAATCGGAGACGAAACGTCGGATTTAAAATTTAAAACTAGCTTCTTGTAGAGGGAAACAAGTGGTCAGGTCATAATAATATTATTTATTTTGAAAAACCGTTTTAAATAACTTCAGTAAAACATAAAAACAATTTTGTAAAATTTCGTTTTTCCGGATATCTCCGAGAGTAGTCTACATTTTTCCAGTTTCAAAAATGCATTTTGCGAAGTTTAAACTACCTACCTATCTCTACAGTTTTCGAGATCCCCCTGGTGGCCCTCGAATTTGAATCAGCCTGTATAGGCAAAGCAAAAATGGCAAGTGTTACACAACGAGTTAATAACCTAAGGAGACAGCAAACCAACGAAACAGTAAGTAAAATCAGCACCATTGGCGTAACCAACGTGGAGGATAATATTATCAACCTTATACATCGTGAAAAATCACAACGGCGCAATCATAAACGAGGGTGAGAAGAAAGTTATGATCTCGACGAAAGTTGGTACTTATTTAGTGGTGTTCTAACACAAAAACTGTAATTAGTTATTCATTCCGCAATACTTTGTACTAATTTTTTCGTTTATTTTTACAGAATAAGGTATCTATATCTGCCCAGACCGCGTAGTATCCGTTAAAAAATCTTTATGAAAGTAAAATAGTTTTACAAAGAAATAAATTTACATTTATAAAATTAAATTTTATTATTTTTAAATAAGTGTACTTTAAATGAATTTTTGAATTGATTGGAATTCGGCAAATAAAAGATTTCATTGAAATGTTTATATGTTGCTAGGGTGCCAAATATTATATTAAGTAGAACCCTGTGTCAATAGTCAGTATAATATGATGAATTTCATCTTCAAAACATATTAGCACAAGATCTTAGAAATTTTACGATACGACTTTTGCACTGAGGTTATAAGCAGCATTGTAGAAAACTTATTGCACAAACTTATTTGATTTTATGGCATTGAAAGGGCATTTCTAAGTGATTGATATATTCGCGAGTGTAAAACTTGTTTCAAACGACCAATAAACCGGGTGCGGTCAATTACGATTGAGCGTGATGGTCATTAATACATTGGGAATGGTCAGATACATTTATTATCTTTGATTGAAGCGCTAATACAGCGAAAAAAAGTAACGTGAGACGGGTACGTATGTGATATAAGAATTTTTTTATAGGATTAATGAAAGCCTAATCAAAAGTTAATGTGTGATTGTTAAAAATGCTATAAAAGTTTTTGAGTAGGTATTTTCCTTATAGAATTTTGCTTTGGGAGTACCCTGTCGTTAAGGTCACTACTTAAGACTCAGAAGATACATTAAATTTCATTTTATTGTAGATAAAATAATATCATATCATTTTCACTCCATGATACAAATGTTGGCGGAAGATGTAAAAATTATCCATGCACTATAGTTTATTAGTGAAAGCAAGGGGGCGTGCAATTAAAAACTAGGAAAACGATTGTGTGCTTGCACATAGCGCAGCCATGCATGATAGTAACGTCACTTCGTTTCTTCGTTGATTGGTTAGGAGAATTGAATTATTAATTCGGTGGCGTTCTTTTGATAAATACGAAAACTGGTTAAATACACAGCGGAGATGCAAAACGTAGGCCCGTTTTAGCCAAAGGCGCTAATAACGGAGTCCACCGTGAACACTAACCTCTGAAGCTCATGTATTGAAAAAATCGCACAACAAAGCATACAAATGACCAAATCAACCTGCGATATACGCATTTTTGGAGTGGCGTTCCTTACACGTGCGCGATGATGGTATCGAGCTCGTTGATAATAAAATTAGGCGTACAACCTAAAAAAAACTTCAATGGTATACTAAACTCTCGCCGGTCTCTTCGTGGATTACATAAGAAATACGTGTATGGAATAAAGGTGTCGAATTTCTGTTCTTTAAAACGAGTAAACATCATGCAAAATATTGTTAGATAGTGGTCCCAATGGTTTGCTATACATCGAGTTCCAGACACTTCAACAACTATTAACCGAGTAATAGTGCAAGCTGTATAGGATTTAAAGCTATATTTTAGACAAATAAGATAATTTCCTCTGGGAAACCTTAAATTGCAATTATGTTGATTTAGAATTGCAGATAGTACAATAATGGGGGCGAAAACTGTGATATATAACCTTAAAGGTAGGTGTATACTGCTATTGTTCCAATTTTTTTTGGGGAATCGAGGCGCATTTATCACGATTATCAAGATCCGTGAGAATATTACACATGCTGAACTGGTGCGTAAACGCTTCGAAATTCGGCTAGGTCTAGAGTAACAACTTGTGACGCTATACCATAAGATTGTGTTGTATTTCATTCAAATTTATTGGCATTACTAGAAACATTTCTGTGAAATTTTGTCTTGCCTGTCGCGGTTAATCTGAGAACTTGTTACTTTTTTAATTCCGACTAGTTCTCCATTTCAGTGCTCATCTAAATGTTAATGTATATTTAAAATGAAACTGCTCGATGTAAAAAATTACCGCACTGCGAATTGTATTTAAATTGATTACATAGGTAATGTCATATAACACAATGAAACTTTACATATTGAATGAGAGCCTTTTTATAGCATAATTTCTATGTAAATGAAGGTATATTGTTTTAATTACATGGCGATAATATATTCCAACGAAGTAATTACAGGAGTTATGTGTAAATAATCAACTGAGGTGTTTTGTAATGGCAAATGTACACAACGTTTCAAGCAGAAATCCTATTACAGAAGACTGCTACTACAACTTACCAACAAAAGGGAATTGGAATTAATCGTATTTTAAGGTGTTGCGACCAGAAGTCGAGTTCCCAAAATGTTTACATGTAGAACAAGTCACGT